AGAAGGCCTCTGAGTTTCCTTCCATCTCTATATTTCTATATTCTATGATACAGAAGATTTCCTTGTTAGAACTTCTTTTCCAGATGAAATCAAAGATTCAAAGAAGTGTGGAAATCTCATAACCCATTGATTTGCACGACTATTAAAAATTGGTTGTGAATGAAGTAAATGAAATAAATGAGACTGGAGGGTAAAATGTATAAATTGCTGGAACTGGATATGTCTAGTCTTATGAAAAGAAGGACTAGGGGTGACAAGATAGCAGTGTTCCGATAGCTCAGGGGTTGCCACAAAGAAGAGGGAGTCAAATCTTTCTCCAAAGTACCTGAGGGTAGAACAAGAAGCAATGGATGTAAACTAATCAAGGAGAGAACCTAGAACTAAGGAGAAATTTCCTGACAGTTAGAACAATTAATCAGTGGAACAACTTGCCTCCAGAAGTTGTGAATGCTCCAAAAATGGAAGTTTTTAAAAAGAGACTGTTCAGCCAATTGTCTGAATTTGGCTTTCCTGCCTGAGCAGGGGATTGGACTAGAAGACCTCCAAAGTCCCTTCCAATTCTGTTATTCTGTTTTGTTCTGTTAAATGTGAGCAATCTAGAGAAAGAAAAAAGGGTTAATACTATATATCCATAAGTATTTACAAAATATGGCTGCATAGTGTTCAGCCACTTCAATCATCCTCATATCATGAACCTGTCATGTCCTCCCCCCTTTATTTGGTCCTTCTTTCTGGAACTCAGAACCTTATTTGAAAGTGAATCAGTATGTAGTTTGACCCAAAATTGATATGCCCTGATGCAGCTGTTCTGTAGCTTTGGACAGGATTCAGAGTTTTAGTCCTGTTTTATGGACAGTCTTGTCGGCTACATTTATTTTCACTTCAGTCTTTCCCTTTGAAAATGTTATTTCAAGGTTGTGGTCCTAGGAGCCACATTCATAAAAAAGGAAGTTTTTTGTTCTTTCCTGCCAAATTGCATTGCATTGTGATATAAGCGTTATGTATGAAAGAGACTTTTCAACTCCATCCTCTAGGAATGAAAGATGAGATGTTATGTTTGCAAACTTAAGGTTAAAAAAAATAGTATTCTGTAAACATGACCCTTTATGGGAATACCCATTGCTCAGAGTTCAGAGAATCTCATTCTATTTAATGTCAGTATGTGAAAACAGCATGTTTTAATGAATAAATTGCCATTGATTGGATACCCACAAACAGCAAAGTCAGAAGCAAACTACATTATCGCTTAGTATTTTGTATAAACGAAGCAAACATGTGAAACTGATACAGGTAGTCCTTGACTTACAACAGTTCATTTAGTGATTGTTCAAAGTTACAACGGCATTGAAAAAAGTGAATTATGACCGTTTTTCACACTTACAAGCATTGCAGTATCCCCGTGGTCATGTGATTAAAATTCATACACATCCAACTGATTCACGTTTATGATGATTGCAGTGTCCTGGAGTAATCTTTTACGACCTTCTGACAATGGGGAATCCAGATTCACTTAGCAACCATATTACTAATTTAACAACTGCAGTGATTATCTTGATAGCTGTGGCAAGAAAGGTTGTAAAATTAAGCAAAACTCACTTAACAACCATCTCGCTTAGCAATTTTGGGCTCAATTGTGGTCATAAGTTGAGAACTACCTGTAGCTGGATTCAGTTAATTTTTTTAACTGGAAATTTCTGAAATTCTTTTCTAGTACAAATTCAGCATGTCCAGAACATAATTATCTGCATGATGGGAATTACTAAAATTCTATTACTTAGATCTACCAATTATTAAAAGAGAACAAATTGTCTTTCAAAATCGCCCTGTTCTGATACATTCTTTGACTGTTTTGAATTTACTGTTTTTTATTCTGTATTATTCTGATTCATGCTTTGGCTCACCAATTTTGTAGTTGACAGAAATGTTTTGTTTGTTTTAGACGTAACATTTAAAGTGATAAATTTAGCTAGAGCTCTGGCTGCGTCCATTAAATAATAAGAATATTTTAAGGCTTAATAACATTGGTTACTTGTGTTGTTGAAATGATAATGTGGTTTATGCCAGTGTTTTCCATGTTTCCATTAAGAGATATTTTAAATCACTTCAATAAATCTTCTAATGATTTTCAGGTATTGTTTAATGCCTTTCAGCTGACATAACAAATGAACCATTTCAATTTTCACTGAAAGCTCTTTAGTACATGTCAGCATTCTTTCTTGGAGTACACTCAAAAAGTGACAAATTGTAGTAAGTCACTCTGAGTTTCCTTCAAATTAAGCTTTATTCACTGCCTTGTGTATTGCCTCAGACTGCAAAGCAGCCAGAGTGTTTCTTTTTTCAATCACATAATAAAAGTTGCAGAACTGAAAAACTCTCATGGCAGAAATTTTCCTTTTCCATCACTTCCTTTGAGGAGCTACAAAATAATGTTGCATTTTATGTCCCTAATGAAAGGAGATACTTTCTACCTTCATTTGTCAGAAACTTGGCTGCAGAACATAATATAAGTGAAATAATGGCATACTTGACCCCAGAGAATAGATAGTTTTTTATGAAATAGCACATCTGCTAAAAATGGGAGACATTAGTTCCATAACTAATAGAAGCTTTCACCAAACATTAGAAGCAAAAAATTTATATTCTACCCATATTCCTAAATTTATATCCGTACTGTATATATGCCTTCTGGTAATATATACACTATAAGGAAAGTCTTTCCAAAGCTATTTATAAAGATATAATTAAATCCACTTTTTTCATATGCATATTGTAAATTCTTGTAGACATGCTATATGCCAATATTTTAAGGATTGCTATTTTAAAAGTCATTCATTTAAAATTTTTTAAAAGTTATTGAATCTGAAACTTATAAAAAAACATAGTACATTAAGATTGTGATGCTCTTTCTCCTGACCTGTTCCTAAAGGAGTTTATGATTTAAAAAGCTTAGCAGAAAAATGTGGTCAATTTTCATATACATTTTCCCTAATTTATATATTTTTGCAAAGAATGTTGCTGAACACAGTGTATTCTTGTAACATTTTCCCCAAATATGTGTATTTCTTTGTACTTCCTAAGAACTGTAGTGTATATATGTGTGTGTGTGTGTGTGTGTGTGTGTGTGTGTGTGTGTGTGTGTGTCTATATGTAGGTCTTTGGTTATTCGGGTCTTCTCCCACGTAAAATTGGAAGTGTCTTGGCGACGTTTCGACGAAGTCTCATTCGTCATCTTCAGGCTGGTGTTCTCGGCTTCGTGCTTCCAGGAGCAATGTGAGATCGCAGCTGTCTCTTCCTTTTAACTGCTAGGGGTGTGAGCTGATTGGGTGGGAACTTGGCTGTGTTCTGATTGGCTGGAGGTGTGTCCTGATTGGTTAGGGACTTGGCTGTGCTCTGATTAGATGGGGGGTTGGTTGTGCTCTGATTGGCTGGGGGTATGTTCTGTTTGGGTGGGGGCTTGGTTGTGCTCAGCTTAGTCTGAGTTGCAGGGGGATTTGAGCTGGTGAGCTGCATTGTTGTTGTTTGGCTTCGTGTTTGTGGCCGTGCGAGCTCTTCATGGTGGGTGTCAGTCTGCTTCATGTATGGATTGGAGGGGCTTAAAGTGGCTAATGATGCAGCTGTGGTCTGGCTTCTGGTCCTTGGTCGTGGCTCATTATCAGTGTGGGTTTGCGTCTGCTTTCTGCGTGGATGTGTGGTGGTGACATCCTGTGTGGCTCTTGTGAGTGTGGGTCTGGTGTCATTCGTCGTGTTAGGGACTCGTTTGTCAATAAGGGCGGATTTCCAAATGGGTGGTAGGCGGGAGGTATCGTCTCGTTTGTTCATGCTGTGTGGGCGTTTTTCTATCTCGATGGCTTCTCTGATTATTCTGTTGTTAAAGTGTTCAGTTTTGGCAATAGTTCTGGTCTTTTTAAAGTCAATTTCATGTCCTGTGGCTTTAAAGTGTTGGACCAGGGAAGAAGTTGGTTCCTCTTTTCTGACTGAGTTCTTATGTTCTTCTATGCGTGCACTTATTCGTCTGTTGGTTTGTCCAATGTATGTGGTGGGGCAGGCGGTGCATGGGATTTCATATACTCCTTGATTTTCTAACTCAATTTTGTCTTTGGGGTTCTTTAGGATGGTGGATATTTTTCGGTTTGTGCAGAATGCTGTCTTGATGTTATGTTTGTGGAGGATTTTGCTTATTCTGTCTGTGGTGCCTTTTATGTATGGGAGGAGGGCTTTGCCGTTTTCTTGTTCTCTGTCTTGGATTTTAGTGGGGGTTTCTTTTTGGATTAGGTTGGTGATCTTATTTCTTTGGAATCCATTGGATGTTAGTACGTTAGTGAGAGTGTGTAGTTCGGTTTTTAGGTGTTGTTCGTCAGCTAAGCGTTTTGTTCTGGAAATGAGTGTCTTGGCTACAGAGTTGATCTGGGCAGGGTGGTGGTGTGAGAGTGCGTGCAGATAGCGGTTTGTGTGTGTTTTCTTCTGGTAGATAGTGTGTCCTAGGGAGCCATTGGATTTTCTGTAGACTAAGACATCCAGGAAGGGAAGTTGGTTGTTCGCTTCTGTTTCCATGGTGAACTGTATTTTGGGGTGTAGGCTGTTGAGGTGTGTGAGGAAGTTGTCCAGTTTTTCTTTCCCATGTGGCCAGATTATGAAGGTGTCGTCCACATATCTGAGCCAGAGTTTGGGTTTGTGATCAGATTTTTCTAGAGCTTGGGTTTCAAAGTATTCCATATAGAGGTTGGCAATGACAGGTGAGAGGGGTGATCACCTCAACAGCCTACACCCCAAAATACAGTTCACCATGGAAACAGAAGCGAACAACCAACTTCCCTTCCTGGATGTCTTAGTCTACAGAAAATCCAATGGCAGTTAAAAGGAAGAAACAGCTGCGATCAGCTGATTGGGTGGGAACTTGGCTGTGTTCTGATTGGGTGGAGGTGTGTTCTGATTGGTTAGGGGCTTGGCTGTGCTCTGATTGGATGGGGGGTTGGTTGTGCTCTGATTGGCTGGGGGTGTGTTCTGTTTGGGTGGGGGCTTGGTTGTGCTCAGCTTAGTCTGAGTTGCAGGGGGATTTGAGCTGGTGAGCTGCATTGTTGTTGTTTGGCTTCGTGTTTGTGGCCGTGCGAGCTCTTCATGGTGGGTGTCAGTCTGCTTCATGTATGGATTGGAGGGGTTTAAAGTGGCTAATGATGCAGCTGTGGTCTGGCTTCTGGTCCGGGGTCGTGCCTCATCATCAGTGTGGGTTCGAGTCTGCTTTCTGCGTGGATGTGTGGTGGCCACATCCTGTGTGGCTCTCGTGAGTGTGGGTCTGGTGTCATTCTTTGTGTTAGGGACTCGTTTGTCAATATGTATATGTATATGTATATGTATATGTATATGTATATGTATACCATATCACTGTCACTGGGTGTTTTGCCTTATGATTCTTGACGAGTGTATCTTATCTTTTTATGTACACTGAGAGCATATGCACCAAAGACAAATTCCTTGTGTGTCCAATCACACTTGGCCAATAAAAAATTCTATTCTATTCTATTAAAATAAGGCATACTTATGACATAAGATGTTAAATTTAAAATACAAGATTACAATACATACAAGTTAAACAGATCTTGCCCAGAAACTAGCAACATTAATTGCATTCTTTCACATTGCCATGAGGTTTTCGGGTATGCCCTGATCAGGACACAAAGGGCAGCTCTGCATATGTGGTATTGTCTGCACGTCACCACAATTGCAAAGTCACCAGATAGCCCCATTCATTCAGAGTGTATCTTTGTCCATCCTTCCCAGCTTTCTCCAGAGCTAGAAGAAGCTAAAAGAAGACATCTGGATCTGGTGTCGGACCTGGTCTTTGGGTGTTAAGTGAATTTCGTTGTATGGGTATACTGTGTATACACGTATAATGACAATAAAGTTATTTGTTTGTTTGTTTGTTTGTTTGTTTGTTTGTTTGTTTATTTATTTATTTATTTATTTATTTATTTATTTATTTATTTATTCTTACATTCTATAACAGGGATAAGCAAGCTGTAGTTCCCAACTCTATTTTTAGTTTCATCATAACTCCAGATTGCACCGTTGTATTCAGCGGCAAAACCAATTATCAATATCTTAGTGAAACCATCTCTCATCCCTCCTAAATTTTCAACAGTTACTGGCAGCAATACAGATGCAGAACCTTTATATCCTCAAGAATATTACCCCTCCCACTTTGAAAGCCAAAGGCCAGAATGGTTAAGGAATGCCACACTGTCTGAACGAGCAGTTCAGAAAAGCAGTTTATTGTCCTATTGGAAGTACATTTAATTAATTAATATGCTGCCCATCTCTCCTGGAGGCAACTCCAGGGGCTTTACAACAAAGTAAAACCAACAATATAAAACATTAAAAACATTAAGATAATAAAGATTAAGATTAAAAAGATGGCTGCTGAAGAGGGAGTATGTCAGATTCCAGAAAAAAAAGCCCAGCCAAATGATGTTTAGGTTTGAAGCTTTTATCTCTCTGGCACTCACTGACCATCCAAGCAATAAACAATGCAAAGAAAGGATTGACATAGCTAACATCCAGTGCTCCCCAGCACCTTTAAACAGTTCCCACCACCACACTCCCTCTCCTACATGCCTGCCCCGTCACCCAATGCTCCTGGAAGTACTGAGTCACTCTGAGTTGTCTCGCAGTTGTAAGTTGTGCTTCTGAGGCTTGCCTGCTGCTGGAGACATTCTGAGGCAGTTCTGGAGGTCCTGTAAGGGGCTTGACAATGTCCAGTTGTTTGCAGTAAGGCTGCCTCTCCTAGAATCGGCCCCTGATGGTCTTTTCTCCCCCTCCTCAAATGGCAGCTCTGAGCTGAGCATGCCAGAGCTCCCAATTGTCCTATTGGGAGTACATTTAATTAATTAATATGTTGCCCACCTCTCCTGGAGGCAACTCCAGGAGCTTTACAACAAAGTAAAACCAACAATATAAAACATTAAAAACATTAAGATAATAAAGATTAAGGTTAAAAAGATGGCTGCAGAAGAGGGAGTAAGGTACAAACAGGTTGGAGTTAGAATCATCTCTCGGTGCATTAATCACCTTCAGTATGACATGCCCCCATCAGGTCAATTGGCTGAGTCAGATTTTCAAGCCTCTACAGAAGACCAGGAGAAGGGTGAGTATGATGTTCCAGAAAATGGGAGCCAAGGCAGAAATGGCTTTTCTTCTGCACCTCACCAACCAGAATTCCTTGATCAATAGGCCCACAGCATGGCCATTCTGCCAAGCATGGGTGGGGGGCAAGCCAATCCCATTGGGATGAGACAGTCCCTCAGGTACCGATGGGCCCATGCCATAAAGAGCTTTAAAGGTAATAACCAACACCTTGAATTGGACCAGGAAACAAAGTGGCAACCAGTGTAGCCTGCATAACAGCAGTGTTACCTAGGCCATCCTTGGGGCTCCAAAAACTGTCTGTGCAGCTGCATTCTGTGCCACTTTTAATGTCTGAATAATCTCCATGGAGAGACCCATGTAAAGCATGTTGTAGTAGTCTAGATTGCTATGCAGTATTCCAGAGTACATTATTATTCCTAGTAAACCAGTTTGTTTGTTTAGCTCTGATCTTCCTAGAAACCTTGATTTGTGTCTTATTGATATTGGATTTTTTGACTTTAATAATGGAGACAGAACTTTATATACAATTGGGATTGAAGCTTCAGTGTCTTAATATTTTTTTATCTCAACTGTTTCTCACCATTTTTTGGGGGGGGGAATCTAAAAATATTTGGTGTCACTTCCTTATGATGTCATCAAACCATACTATTTTCAGTTCATGGCTAAAAATATGATAAAAAAATGAAAATGGGGTCAGGGCTATAAAATAATGTCAATTTTTCCCCATATCATTTTTCCCAAATAAATCTTCCTGAATTTCATAGGGATACAGAACTCTTGTGTAAATTGTTCAATTTTTTAAAAAAAATTAAATCAAATTTTATAATGTGTTGGAATTATTATAGATTGCTTGGTTATCAACTATTCATTGCAGCAAAACTACTGCTGTATGTTGTACAATGAATATCAATTACTGGGCATTTTGAGATCATGAACCACATAGTAGCAAATAACAATTCAACATTCATTTACTGGTTATTTCATAAACAAAAATGTATTAAAGAATAAATGTATCCACAGACTCCAAGTGGATCCAGAATTATGTTATTTAAAAAAAAGAAAGAAAGAAATTTAAAAATAATACCACCTTGATTGAACTTTCCTTAAATAGCAAACTCCCAAACTTCAGATAGACAACATAAGTTCTAATTTGCCTAACCTACAAAATATAACTCAAGTATTTCAACTGTAATACAAATTGATTCTATCAGAACAATTAGCATGTATCCCAGACATTAAGTCTAAGTGAACTCGGACTACAGTTCTTTAGCTTTATAATGACCAAAAAAGTTGTATAGCTCTAAAGCTATCAGGCATACATAACTTTAGTTATATATTTGAGTAGTTATTGTTTAATTTTTAGTTACATTATGTATGCAGTAAGGACAAATAGCACATGACCTATTGCTTATGTCTATGTGTTTTTTAATATGTGAATTTTCTAGTTCATGTTTTCTGAACAAATTCACACTTTGAAAATGGTTCTTCTCAGATAGTTGCATTTTCCAAAACAGAATATATATGTGTGTGTATAAGTATATATGTGTATGTATATATGTATGTGTGTGAGAGTGTGTGTATGTATTTAAACTTCATGACATGAACTTCAAGCAAAACCAACATTGATAGATTCATCTGATCCTACCGAAATTAAACATGAATTTATCCAGCCAAAGAGAAAAGTTCAGTGCCTTATTCCACTTCAATATCCAGATATTAACATTAAAAAACCCCAAACCTGGGCTTCTGGAATGCCTACTGTTATTTCAGTTTTTAATAGCCCAATTATATTTCCTAGTTTTTCGCAAAAAAAATGATGGAGAAGAGGAACATTTTTTTCCGTTCTGTCTCCTAAAGTGCCATAAAACAAACAAATTGAAATAATCTTAGAAACACCCAGATACCATATCATAAATCTCTTATTGATTCACATTAACTTCTGACCATTTGGCATTTAGAAAAGAAAGGTATGAATTAAATTACAACAACTGCCAAAGCATTTTGTTATAGCAAGAGAACAGTAATATATTTGCTGCCTACATTATACATGATCTTCTTTCCACAGAAATGATCTTTTCTCTAGAAATCTGACTTTCTACCAGAAGGAAAAAATGGCCTTTAGAGCTACTGTTTCGGGTTTTTTTTAATTTCCCTTTTGCAACAGCAGTGAGGAAGGCAGACAACAATCTCAGGATGACAAATTTATCACATTTTGAAGTTGAGAAGTCAAAGAAAAGATGTCATACATTGCGTGAAAAACATTTTTTTCAAGAATATGTTATTAGGGCAATCTTTTCCTGAAAAGTAGAATTAAGTACGTGTTTAGAATATGTGCCTCAAAATAAATGACAATAAACTGATTAATTAAATGAATAATGTAAGTCATTGTTAGTCATATTTTGGGGGCGTTTTGTCTCTACTTCCCTGTTTTATTTGTATCTGTTAAATGCACCATAGCGACTATTTCTAATATAGAAGATAAAATAATTATCCCAATTTGGATTCTATACTGATGCTAACTCTGTTTAGATACAAAAGCTTTTATGACTAATGCTAGATTACAAGACTTTAGAGGTCAGTTAAAATTAGCATCTATTCATTTCTCTTGAAACTTTTGAGACCCAGTACAAAGTATGTTCACATGCTATGTAGATATGTGTATTAGTTCATTGATGTGAATGGGGTAGGAGAGCACAAGGGCTCTTGGGAATTACCTTCATTATGTATTATTGTAAGAAAAGGAGGGTCAATAGAGAGTTGAGGTGATTTCTGAATAGCTTCCTCTTCTATCAATCCTTCATCAAAAACAGATTTTTTTTCCTATTTTAACTATTTAAATTTAACTATTTAAATTTTTCGTCGGGCCCTGAAAACCCATTTATTTCAACTAGCTGGGCTGGCTTGAGTTAAATTTTAAACTGATTTTAAATTGGAATTGTTTTAATTACGGCCAAAATATTTAATTATTTTAAACAGTTTTTAGATTTTGTATGTCTTGTTTTTACTTTGGCTGTTCACCGCCCTGAGTCCTATATTGGAGAAGGGCGGTATAGAAATTTAAACAAATAAATAAATAAACTATTGTCCGAACAGCACACACACAAAAAAGGAATATCAACCTTGTGGCTTGAGGTCCTATAAGATCAGAATATAGCAGAGTAGTATAGCATCTCTTTTGTATACAATACCAGAATTTACACAACTCCAAATTCAAATCTTGGCATCTGTAATTAAAAGATATGGCTTTTACCATGAATAAGCAAAGGTGGAAATGGGAAGCTTTGGATATGAGGTCATTGCAAGAGCCATAGTTAAGTTATGTTGATGTAAGGAGCAAAAGGAAAGGATGGGGGGGGGGGGTCTTAAATATGGAAGGGAGGAGATGAAAGAAAGTACAATGAAAGATTTTGCTGGCAAAAAAATGAAATAGGGACTACCTTGGTTGGACATTAATGGCCATTCAGGTTGGACTTGTTCATTTTCAACAACTTCTTACCTCTGAACTTTAATCTATAAATCTATTTTAGGCTGAAGAATATAGCACTTGAATTCATTCTAGTCTCCAAATATAATATTTTGTTAATATTATTATTACTTTATGCTTTTTATGTTTATTCTGGATTTTAATTCATAGAGGTTTTCATTTTTTTTAAAAAAAATATTGATTAATATTATTTGAAAAGTCTTCTATAGAAGACAATAACATTGCTTGTGAGTTCTCATCTGCCTTTGCTTGTCCTGTAGCGGTAACTTTTAGACTGAATGAAATCAGACACTGGTCATGTTAAAATTCCTAAAAAGGTAAATCTTGCTGTTAGGATATTTGTTTAAGTTGAAGACTGGCTGGTGGAAAAAAAAAAGTTGAGTGGAAATTTAAATATCTTTGGTTGTTTTTATCTGATTTGTCAATTAGACCTATCTGCTCTCTTTTTCCAATTCAGAAGTTTATGAGATAGCTGCTATTCTCATGCATTTTTTCTATTTATTATCTTTGTTCCATTACAGTTGGAATAATCTCTTGTGCAAACAAGCTTTAAATAAATAATCAAATTGCTCAGTTCTCTTAAAAATTGCAAACTCCTGCATTCATTTAGTATTTTAATCAGAAAGGTATGTTCTTTGCAGAAGTACAGACCGGAGAGCTTCTTGTTTACCTAATGAACTGAAATAGTGAATACAGAGGTAAGATAAATACATGAAAATAGAAGTTATAGGAAGAAAGAAATACCCTGAATATGGCAATATATTACCTATTATATAGAAGATGGGTAACAGTATGCTGGTCTTTGTAATTTAGCTATCTTAGCTTGCATAGGTAAAATTGTAAAATTGGGCTGTATGTATTTATTTCATCTAAGGCTGCTGAATTCCAGAACAACTCTCTGTTGTTTGCATTAGAAAGACATATGAGAAACAATGAAACAATGATAGACTGAAGAAACCATGAAGAGCCTTGGTAGTACAGTGGTCTAAAGCACCCTGTTATTAAGACCAGCTGCCTGCAATTACTGCAGGTTCGAATCTCGCCAGGCTCAAGGTTGACTCAGCCTTCCATCCTTTCTAAGGTAGATAAATTGAGGACCCAGTTTGTGGGGCAATAAGCTGACTTTGTATAAATATACAAAAGGATGAAGGCTATTGCTTAACGCATTGTAATCCGCCCTGAGTCCCCGGAGAAGAGCGGCATATAAATCAAATTTAAAAAAAACAAAAAACAAAACAAAACAAAAACACACACAAAAAAACATCCAAATAAATACACTGACCTGCCACCATACTCCAATTCCTGAGAGAAAAAGCAGGGTTTTTTAAAGATTTCCAGAACACCACTGGAATAGGAGCCTCACAGAATGTTGTTCCGGAGAAGGTGTCCTTCCTGGTTCCTGACAGATGCATTATTTAATAGATGGGATCTCTACCACTTCAACTCAACCTGATCTTACCAGATGTGCAGGAAGCATGGACGATAGGTGGTGCCTCAGATAGCCAAGCCTTATGCCTTAAGGACAGGGGTGGTAATAAAGCACAATCAGATTTGCAGATTTGTTATACTCCTGTGAACCTAAGGAAGTGTTGGTCTGACCACAGGTTTTTAAAGTAGCTGCATCTTTTTCTTGAATTATACAGCAATTATACACCAGTCTGGAATGGCATAGGGTCTCCTGCTTGAGCAGGGGGTTGGATGAAAAGACTTCTTTCCAGTTCTATTCTGATTGATTGAGCAGTTAAAGGGAAAACTAATTTAGGCCAGGGAAAATATATTACTTTTTAAAACCTGCAGGAATTTGCATCTATCTATCTATCTATCTATCTATCTATCTATCTATCTATCTATCTATCTATCTATCTATCTATCATGATAATGTTATCTATTCAGTAGTGTCCCACTCTATGGCTGATCTCTCCACATCTATCATCCATTTATCATCAATTATCTATCTATCTATCTATCTATCTATCTATCTATCTATCTATCTATCTATCTATCTATCTATGATGATAATGTTATCTATTCAGTAGTGTCCCACTCTATGGGCTGGATCTCTCCACATCTCCCTATCATCCATTTATCCATCAATTATCTGTCTGTCTGTCTGTCTGTCTGTCTGTCTCTGTCTATCTATCTATCTATCTATCTATCTATCTATCTATCTATCTATCTATCCGTCTCTAGCTATCAAATTTTGTTTGCTAAATTAAGACTATAGAGACATTCCAAATTTAACCTCCTCTCCTCTTCTAAAAATTCTCTCAAATTTTCTTCTTTCATGCACACAGTCCATGAATGGAATCAGCACATCAGTAGTAAACATTTCAAGTCAAGTAGAAACAATGAAATATTCCAGCAGAAGTAAATTGTAATAACCCTAGTACATGGCTGAGTTCACAGAGCACATTAATTCAACTCCTCTCCCCACAATCAATAAATATAGCTTAGAATGATGAATTGAGTATCGTCTGGAGAATGAAAGTCCATGCAGAAGATACAGAATATACAATTGTTGTCAGCTTTATGAGGTAGACCAGACAGGAAACACAACTGGATGAGCTAAATTCTACTTTAAAGCTACATTAGCTCAAGTTTGCAAGTCCAAAAGTATCTTTCTACACCCATCTTCTTTAAAGTATCCTTGCCTGCTGCTATCATTATCAGTTTGGTCCGACCCCAAGTGCTTCTTCCATTGAAGGCATATTTTTGTTTTCTGAGCATATGTAGTTGCCTTCCTGCGTTCAGGAAAGTTGTCTGATGTTCTTGACTCTTTTTGATAAAATTACCATTACAAATCATGCTAAATGAATGGGGGTGAAACAAGCTTGCAGCCTCAAAATTAAGGTTTCTATGTATATCTTTATGAATATTCTCACATCACCCAGCATCTCGAAGAAAATTTGTGTAGCTCTGCTGTATATGGCTGAAAGCTTAAAAAGTGCTTTGGTGTTTAGGATGAATTGCAAAGCTTGAAAAAGATTTTGCAAAACTGTGTCACAGAATGAGTGAAGACTGAACCTACTTGACAATAGGTTCCATAGATATCTCCTTTGATGGAGAACGATTTTCACCATATTCTATTCCTGATTAATAAATAAAAAACAGGCTGGGTTTTACATTTATGCTTTCTTTGCCAATTATAATTTTCTCTGACCTAAAAAAAAAAAATGCAAAAACCTGTTCTAGGGAACATGGTACCAGCAATCTCAAAATAGTTGTCTATTATAAGGCTTTTAAGAGGCACTTTTCTTGAAAAGGGTACCATCATGCTGCCCTAAAGATTTGCTCTTTCCTTTGTTCTCCATTGTATCTTAGAAACCTCAAAAGTCTGGTATGTATACTTCTCCCATCCATGTTATATTCTCCTTTTTGGCAAGCAGTCTCTACTCTTCCTTTGATTGCAGCTGAAAATGATGTGGCTATTTTTGTTTGACAGCAAATACACTGAGAAGGACTTATTATATTCTAACATCTCTTTGAGCACCAAGCTTATTGAAAAATGGAAAGTGAATTGCGTGACCCATAAGAAGTGACTTGTCATCTTTGATAACATTGCACATATCAAGAACTGATTATGATAATAATTAGTAGTTGTGGTTATATAATCATCATCATCAACACTTGTTTTCCTTTCCCAGTTTTTAAGGCATTTTAATGGGACTTAGAATTGTTGGATGGCTTTCAGAAAACAACTAAAGTCCTTTGATTCTTTTCTTCAGAAAGTGGTTAGATAGGCATTTTGATATATATATATATCTTTGCTTGAAATGCTATAAAAATCTATGTTCAATCTTACCATGCATGCTTAAAAGTATCAGTAATCATATGCTAATTGATAATGCATGTGCTATGCTTCCATAGAGCAGCCAC